AAATACAAACGCCAACTGACCCAGCCGAGGCTTGAACCAGCAACCTTCTTGCTGTGAGGCAACAGCACTACTGCGCCACTGCGTCAGAACAACTTTTAGTGCTAAATAAAATCCTTTCATAATGTTCCATAACGAACCTTTGAATTTGCTATAAAAAAAACCTTAATTTGATATCATGATCATAATTATTAGTATTAATATTGGTAAAAAAAAAATCTGGGTTGCATTATTCCAATGCTGTGTAAAATGGACAAACCCAATCATTGGTTTAAAAAGTGTTATTTAAATTTAATTGAAATTTTAAAAAATAAAATAAAATAAAAATTATACAGACCGAACCGCATGTATCAGATAGGTCATTTTAGTCATTTTTTCCACTGATGTGAACTTACATTAAAATGACCAAATTTGTACAAGTTAGTGTATCTTTTCAATTTTGTTAGGTACAAAATATATTACATGTGTAAAGCCCAGCAAAACCAGACATTATGCAATACAGTTAAAAAAAACAAGTGAAGTGATGGAATGTGTTATATGTTTTGTGACTTTTTAAATAACCCAAGCATCAACCCAGTTAGAGTAGGTTGGTTGGATCTCTGTTACATACCTAATTAAAAGAGAAATCCTCAACTGAACCGCTGCTTCTGTTTAACTAAAAATAGAAAGAAAGAAAATGACATTGGTATGAAAAGTTAGCCTACATTTTGGTAAGTTAAAAGGTATAGACATTTAAAGATAAAAATAAATTTACCCTTCGAGAGTGGGTCCGTGTAGTTGTCGACGCGTAAGAAACCCAGTAACGAGCGGGAAATAAAGATACTTAAATTTAAATAAAGAATCATTTACGCATAATAAGGGTTCTCCACGACAATGCCGTTTTAAATAGAACTATTGCTACAAAAAATCTTTAAAAAGCATAAGTGTTGCCTACTGGTTATTTAAAAAGAAGATCAAAGGCAATTAAAATAGGCTAGTTTTGGCATTCAGAATAGGAACGATGCGATCACGTGTGATGAGAAAACAACGAAAGAGTAAGTTGAGATGAAAAAAAACCCACCAAGAAACACTATAAAAAGCCCTGTCCGGTTTACTTTCTCTTTGAAACACAATAAACATCGTCCTAGAGGATGCGTAAACAGTCGTATGAGTTTGAAACACAAATTGAGCTGTGCTGTCCTCACGACGTTTTGTTCACACTCAGATCAGTGATGGACCTGGCCCTATAGAAGAGCCTTTCTGTTAAGGGCCACTGCACACTTTTAGGTTTCATTAGTCTGCTTGTCATAAATTTTCACTCTCGCTAGGGACAGGACATGTCCCTGATGACTGTTCAATCAAGCTTTACTAAGCCGTATTATCTCTAGTCTGTTTATTAGTGATGTTTGCAAAGGAAAGCATTCAAGTGCAATTGGCCCGTCTGAACAATACTCTAATCCAGTGTTTCTCAACTGGGGGTCAGAGGGTCCCAGATGGGCTTTCAAACTTTATTCTAAGATGTATTCCTAAAATGTATACTGTTATACCTTCAAAAACCCACAGATGACTTAAAATCGTTTAATAGCATATATATATATATATATATATATATATATATATATATATATATATATATATATATATATATATATATATATATATATATAAACAAATATTTGTTTAAAAAAACACTAACATTTCTAAAAACAAAATCAAAGATTTAAATTCAAATAATTATGTTTGCACCGAAAATTGTGCTTGATATAACATTCATTCATTCATTTTCTTTTTGGCTCAGTCCTTTTATTAATCAGGAGTCGCCACAGTGGAATGAACCGCCAATTTATCCGGCAATTTATTCCAGCTGCAACCCACTGGGAAGCTTAATCTAACATATATAATATAATATATCAACAGTGTTTCAGGGTTATCATAGCTACAGCAGATATTAGATTTCTGGCAAAAGACCTCATATAGAAATTTACACAGACAGTTGAAATCAACTAAGCATTTACTCCCCCTAGAGCGGTCCCAAATCTTGTATGAGTTTCCTTTTATTTTTAAACCAAACATTTTTTTTAATCCATAATAGGTACAAATGAATGAATGAATTAATATACCATGGCAGTCAATGGATACCAGTTAGCTAACATAATTTAAGGTATCTTTTTTTGTGCAACAGAAGAATAAACTGTGGGCCTGTAATGACAGATTAGTATTATGTTGTTGTTATTATTATTATTTATAATAGTTATAAATAATACATATAATTATTTAAATGTTATTTCAGCACTTCAGTTTATTTAAAATGTTTAACAAATTGAAAATTTATTTATCAATTTTATTTTGTTAACTCATAACAATTCCTGTTGTAGCTGAACGGAGGAGTGCAGACAAGAACCATAAAAATCTCATAATCTCAATGTTCAAACATTCCAGACTGAAATAATAACTATTATACCCCAGGGGTTTAGTTACTAATGCAATAATTCTGTATCTGTTTTAACTGTGGTTACAATTAACTTTCAAACATGCAGTGCCACAATCTGGCCGTAAGAGAGCAGAAGAGAGCTATAAAGCTCAAAACTCGTTCAGAAACGGTTTCTATAACTGTACACTAAAATAATAATATCTTACCACAGCTTTCAAAAAAATGTTTTATCACAAAACACTGGGTGTGTGAGTGTATATGTGAGGAGTGGGTTTGGAATTTCAGGAATCTTGGATCTTCCCAGCAGACCCGCCCTGATGAGTGACTGTCTGGCCAAGAATCTGTGCTGCTCTCTCACACATCAGTAGGGTAGTTTGTTGTTCAGCAACAATACAGAGGGCCGTACTGTACATGCTGAGAGGCTCGGGGCCTCTCATACAGTCCAGAGAGAGATTTTTGTTCCAGTTCTGTTTTATCCAGAGTTCTTTTCCAGGATCTTTTGAAGTAACTATAAAACGGAACATATTTTACTACGGTATATATATATATATATATATATATATATATATATATATATATATATATATATATATATATATATATATACACACACACACACACACACACACACACACACACACACACATTTATATACATATCTGTGTGTGTGTGCGTGTGTGTATGTGTGTGTGATTATATTACTCGCACATGTAAACACAATTCACATTCTCTTTCAAATAAAATGAAGATGAAAATGTTTTTAATAAAATCTGTATCATAAAATGCAACTTATATTATGTTATTATTTTGTTGTTGTAGACATTTTTGCATAATCTTGCAACCAGGTTATGATTACTACTGTATAAATGTATTAATACTGTAATATTACTAGAATACCATGGATTGGGCAAAAAAAAAAAAAAAAAAAAGGTTACTACAGCCATGGTTCATACAGTGTTATTATAGTATTACTACATATTACTACAGTAAACCAATTGTCTTAAAATGTTTCAAGTTTTTTTTAAACAGTACGCACCAAAAAAAAAACTAACAAACATGCCTACTACAGTCATATTCACTACAGTTTTACTCTAGTAAAACCATGGATAATTTTCAGAAGGGTTTACTCCCCCTTTACTTGTTCTAAACATGTTTGACTCCCTTTATCTGTTAAAGACAAAAGAAGATACTTCTATATCACCCCAATTTTATTCTCTTTAAACTAGCTGTCTGTTAAGTTCTTTATTGTTTATAAAATATTGCTTCTTACCTATAAAGCTTTAAATAATCTAGCTCCTGTTTATCTAGCCAACCTTCTGTCTCGCTACAATCCAACCTGCTCTTTAAGATCTCTAAACTCAGGGCTTCTGGTGGTACCATACCTAGAATAGTTAAGTCTACTAAAGGAGGTCGAACCTTCTTGTTTATGGCTCCTAAACTCTGGAACAGCCTTCCTAATAATGTCTCATTAGGACATTATTAGGCTCAGACACACTCTCGCAGTTCAAAACTAGAATAAAGACTTATCTTTTTAGTAAAGCATACATAATGCATTGCATGATGGTATGATGCATGAATGTGCTCCACCAGGTGATCGGGCTTGACAACTACCTGTAGGACACACTCCTCCTATCTTAACACACCAGACATTTTGTTAGAAATCGTCATATGCTTTACATGTTTGTTTTTATGTCTGTTTATATTACGATTTCATTTATAGCACTTCATTTTTGCATCTCATGTTTAAATACACTTTGAACATTATACAATACTCATCTGGAGACCTGTGAAGAAATAATGTCAAGGTATCCCATAATCCTGGACCAGGCTATATCCTGAGCTGACGCTGCGGTGGTCTGGGAGGAGTGAAGAGCACGCGACTGATTCCTGAAAGACCGAAGTACAGATGAGTCTTCGCATTGCTCCCATGGGCCAGCCTGGACACCCCCCAGTGACCTACTCACACCCGCAGTTCGCCATGATGGATGTCCAGTGTTCTCCAGCCTTTGGTGCCTAGACTGCAGCTCTGCACAAGAAGCTTGGCAAAAGGAGAAATGGCCGTGCCCAACTGAGCCTGGTTTTACTATAGTTGGACTGACACAGTTTCAATTTACTAGAACTTCTATGTGAAGCTGCTTTGACACAATCTACACTGTAAAATCACTACAGAAATAAAGATAAATTGCATTGAATATTTTGAAGAAAGCTGGAAACCTGCTGACTTCCATATTATTTGTTTTTCCAACTATGGATGTGATTGGTTACAGGTTTCAGCTTTGCTCAAAATATCTTCTCTTGTGTTCATCAGAATAAGGGAACTCAGAATAAGGGGTTGAAACCTCTTGACGAAGAGTAAACCTAGTGATTTTTTTTTAGTTTTTGATGATCTATCCCTTAATGATTATTGGGATGCCTGGAGTTTGTAGAGGCAATAAACTGATTCAATGATAGAATCTGAGAAACATTTAACAAATGCTTTCTGTACATTAATGACAATGATGTTGTTTTATAATTGAAATAAGAAAAAGAAAATCAAACAGAACATCTTGGGAATAACTGTGGAGTTTATTTCTTTTCTTTTTTGTTTTGTGTTTGTGTGTGTGTGTGTGTGTGTGTGTGTGTGTGTGTGTGTGTGTATAGAGAGGTAGAGGCAGGATTCATTTTGAACCTTAAAAAAAATGCACTAATGACTAATAATAGTGCTATTGTTCCATTACACAACATTTAAGCACCGGACACACAAAGAGTTCACTTCAACATACAGTGCAAATCATCACAGTGTTGTTTAAAGGGTGATTGTCAGAACAGTAATATACAAGGTATTGCATAAGGAATGTTTTCTACAATATTACAGGCTCATATGGTTTGATCCATAACACTGTTTTGTGTTTCAGAAAGGAATGAAAGTCCTGGAAACATAAATGTGTGGATACAATGTAACATTTCAGGTGTACAGTTTCAGTTTCGGCTTAACATCTTTGTACATTTTCAAGGCGCTTGTGTTTGGAATAATGTTAAATGTGATTGTTTTAATTGTACAGGAGTGGAAGCAGCTTATGAATACATTGATATGAATAGTACAAAAAATCTGCTTGTCCATTCAGTAAAAAAATCTGTTGGCCATAACTGTGTTTTGATACATATAAAAATTCCCTCATACATACTTCCCTTGCTATTGTAGAATTAGTCTTCAGATCTGTCAGTCCTTCACATTCCGGATAGTCAAATGATCATTTTAGCTTTGTTTATGCCAGTGGATTCAGTGGAATGATGTTTCACAAGACAAACACATTTGACACGCACTGTCTTTTAAGAAAATATACAGTGATATACAGTATCTAATAGGGCTGCGCACATAAAATATTACTTGTACAAAAATCTAGCAAAAATATATCATCATGAGGGGAAAAGGCATTAGGAGTGGACTCATGGTTTCATGAAATAGTGGCAAGGAGTTCATAACTCCGCATTTCGTTATACCTCCTTTGCAGTTTGCGGTACGGTTTTCACATTGAGAAACTGGAGATGATGCCATCCTGACTGCTGGAGCGCTTGTAGCCGGAGGAAGAGCTGAAATAAGTCTCGCCATCAGTGCTGATGTCATCATCATCGTCGTCATCATCTGCATTCAGGACTTGTGCAGAGTTGTTCTTACGCCTTGTGGGAGAACAGAAATCAACATTTAGTTGTCTAATTTGCTTTTTTAAACAGGAATAGTTATATTAGTATATAGAAGTGTTCCTCGACCACATTTCTGGAGGACCACCAGCACTGCATGTTTTGGATGTCTCTTTTTGTCTGTCACACCCTGTCTTTCAGTCTCTGCTAATGAGCTGATGATCTGAATCAGGTGTGTTTGGTTAGGGAGACATGGTAAATGTGTAGAGCTGGTGGTCCTCCAGGAACGTGGTTGAAAAACACTGGTATAAATCATACCAGAAGTTCACCAGCGGAATTTGAATCAGTATAATTAATAACGATTTCACTGAATGTGCTTACATGCCTGTTTTATTACTTATTAGCTGACCTGGTTTTGTCTGATGTAAAACTGTTAAAAGCTGTTTCGATAAATAATGAGGGTTGCCCAGCCTTTAAGACTTGCAGTGATGAAAGCAAGTTTCTCAAACACACTTGCACTAAAGCTAGTTACTGTAACTAAAAAATCATTAAAAATGTCATTAAAAATGAAAACCTTTTAATTTTATTGCTTAAAAAAAACATGTTAACGAACAAACTATTCATTCATTCATTCATTTTCTTTTCGACTTATTCCCTTTATTAATCTGGGGTCGCCACAGCGGAATGAACCACCAACTTATCCAACACGTTTTTACACAGCGGATGCCCTTCCAGCCGCAACCCATCTCTGAGCAAAATCCACACACTCATTCACACACACTCATACACTACGGACAATTTAGTCTACCCAATTCACCTGTACCGCATGTCTTTGGACTGTGGGGGAAACTGGAGCACCTGGAGGAAATCCATGCGAATGCAGGGAGAACATGCAAACCCCACACAGAAACGCCAACTGACCCAGCCGACACTTGAATCAGCGACCTTCTTGCTGTGAGGCGACAGCACTGCCACTGCGTCACCCCCGAACAAATTATTTTAATTCCTATTTCAGTTATTTATTATTCATTTTCATTCAATTTCTAATTTAACATAAAACACAAGCAAAAACACATTAATCTGGAAGAAGGGGCAAAAATCATCTATTCTTAAACTTATTCATGGTACCCGATTCAAGCAATTCCTTCAAAACAGTTAATTCATTTAAAATTGAACCATGTGATCAGTGATGATTTATTGAATAATTGACTCAAGTGATTTGTTCAAAAAAGAATCAATTCTTGAAAACAAAAACACTGCAGATGCCTGCGGTTTCTTTCTGCTTTGTTCAGAGACATTTATTTTGACAAATCAAACAAAAAATAATATGGTGTCTAATATGAAACTCTAAATAGTCTAAATAGACTCTAAAAATAGTCACTTCCTGATTAATTGGCTGCAAATATTAATAATAAAAAACAAAATTTACTGCGGTAGAAGAAGCTGCGTCAATCTTTTCTTTATTTAATAAATGTACTTGCACCTCAGAAGACAATGCTGACACAATAACACGTGGGGGCGTTTGAGGCCATGAGGCGCGGAGAACAGACGCTATTAACACTCATTAATGATATACATTAATACTGAAACAGTTAAGGCGTTTAAGAATGACCAAAACAACATTTCAGATGTTTTACAAAGTGTTCAGCCAGCTGGTTTGTCCATTCACACACATTTTTATCATCATATCTCTTATAACAAACATTTTTGTTTACTGCACATACTGGAATTTGTTCAGTGTTTCTATCACACCTTTTGCACATTTTTTCTTATCGAATAAAAGTTTATCCAACTCAGTTATGTGCATATGTTTTTAATGCGTATTTTCCGTTTCCATCAATCGTTTTTATGCGTGTATCAAAAATGAGCATTAAAATAAGTGGGTGGAAATGTAAGGCTAAGGCGAGAAATACCACTTCATCTTTTAAAAAAGGGGAGGAAGCTGACAGAAACTTTGAGTTTAGAGAATAAAACATGCTCCTGACCAGGTTAGATTCACAGAGTAAGTTACCTTGGTAGCTGTAAACCTGCCATTTTGAAAACCCAGAGTTTTTCTCATTTCAGGGTTAGAATACTCTGAGCTTTCACTAAACCTCCTTTCTGAAACGAGCCCCTTGTCTTGATGAGACCAAAATAAAGAAGCTTTTATTTTTATGATGATTTGTGTCATTGTGTCAGATTGAACACCTAACATAGTAGGCTACCTAATATGGTAAACAAGATATTTCTATACATTTTTATGTTTATATTTATATACATTTATATTTGTATACAATTTTAATTGCAAAATTGTCTGCAAATTTCCAAGAATTACCACAAAAAAAAATATTACAAAAATGTCGTGAAAAATTAGGGAGTCTGATTAACTTCTTATTCACTTAATTATTGTATAAAATCATTTCATTAGCAAAATCCCACTCTCATATAAACAAAAGGGAAAACAGTATTCTTGCTTGTGTGGTATAACCTAACCAATAAAATTAAAGGTAAATGTAAAATGTAAATTATTATTAAATGTAAAAAAAATAAACAATAAGGCGTAAAAGGCTTCAGTATTCAGTCAAATCTTTTGAACTTGATGATGTCAACTTGCACTCCATTTAAACGATTACAATATTATCTTAAGGTTGATTATAAATATTCAGATAGGTGAAGACGACAGCTTGATTTTTAATAGCAAATACAGTAAGATGTCAGTCCATCAGTGATAATGAATTGCTACAGATGACTTGAAGCTACTGATCCCAGATCAGCAGTAATGTATTTCGCAGAGCAAATCATTACCTCATCTCAGTGCGCAGTGTTTTGAGCTGACTCTGGAGCTGTTCGTTGGCCTCCTGCTGCTCCTCCAGGTCTCTCTGCAGTTTCTTTTTGCTGTGCTCCAGTCGGTCGATCTCCTCCTCCGCCTCATCCATCTGCCTCTTCAGAGCCTTCAGACGCAGGTTCAGCTACACACACACATACAGCACCACACATCAGAAACCGACAGCAATGACTACATATTTATCACAATTCAGCAGAATCACTGTTGCACACTGTTGCAACATACATAAAGTACCTTTCTTTCACCCTCTACAAATACACACAGTTTATATATAGAGCTTACTTACTTTTATATCTTACTTAAGATCTTTTTACACTGTCCTCTCAGTGGAGGGCTGTTTGCTGACCTGATCTTTCTGATCCTGCAGTGAATGATGTTTTTCATCCTCTTGCATCATTTTTGCTTCATTTTAGATTGTTACTACAGTACATGCCAAAACTTTATTTCATAAAACAGTTTGATGGGTAAACGTCGGTACAATTTGAATTTAACAAACACATTCCATTTAATACACTTTAAAATGTCTTTTATTCCTGTGATTCAAAGCTAAATCTTTGAAGAGCACATATTTGACCCCTTTTTTAAGATTTAAGAGAAGTATTTTGTGCCTACAGAATGTGTCTGTGAAGTTTCAGCTCAAAACACCCATCGAAAAGGAAAGCTCAAAGCGTGATAGGAGATGATTCCCATCCTCTGAAGCCTTTTTTTTGTTGTTGCCCTCTGGAAGAAGGTTTAGGAGCATTAAATGCTCTTCTAACAGATATGAATTCCCCTTTGTTTCTGAGGCAATGAGGCTTTACAACCTTACATTTTAGCAAGTTTTAAATTTGAAATATACGAGTGCTTCCTATGTTTTTTTAGTGCCATTTATGCATGCTGGATTGTGTTTTTAATATTGTTTGTAAGTGATTTGTCTCTTTATGTGTTGGTTGTATCATGAAATGCTACTGCCCTAATTTAATTGCCCATGGTGGGAGTAATTAAGCTGTTAAACTTAATTTAAAAACTTAAACTTTTTTAGATTATGTATTATATGAATTATACTCTGAGCACAATGTAGCTATTTTTGTTGCCTGTGCCTTTAATGCTGGTTCTCCCCGCCCACCGTTCCCACGTGCCTGTCAGAGTGTGCCTCAATCTCCGCTTCGGCTGCGTCAGATAAACAGCACAGTGACAGACATGAAGGAAGCAGATCTCACATAATGTATGTGAGAAATACCTTAGTAAAACTTTACCAATGATTATTTGATGTATTGGTTGTGGAGACAAACTCAAGTCTTTCTGCAATAATGAGTCACACAATTTCGTTACAAAGTTCACGCGCACACACATTGCACACGTTTAAATTTGCAGTTATTGTATGGCAAATATGACAGGATACACGTTAATATACACTGCTGTCTGGATATCTTTCATGTTAATGTACAGAATAAACCTGATTTAATGTCCACAAACCGGGTTTGAAGCGTTTTCTTTTTATATTTGTTCTGACATGCAGCTGTGGTGATAAAGATGGTAAAATTGCTGTCATTCATTACAAACATTCAATGTTTTAAAAACGTTTTAAACCTGTAAAACTCATTCTTGATCACATTTGATGATGATTGATGAGCACAGAGAGCTTAACAGATCTTTTAATCCGAAATGCTTTGCGCACATCCTGTCTTGTTGATGTCATTATATGCATTTCTGTAGAGACATGTTAATGTATGGCTGTCAATCAAATTGGTGGGTAAGGAAACAGCACTCCTCCATCACGTTGCGGTCAGCCTCAAAAAGGGAGGAATTCTATTTTAATGTTTCCATATCAACCCAATATGACTGTAGACACACTATACCTACACAGTTTTGTCCAAACAGCTTACAAAAGATGATTTTCATCATAGGTGCCCTTTAACATTATTACTCTTAACAACTTTTATTATCAAAGATAGAAAAAGCTGTGCAGCTTAACAGGAGAGAGTGTGCAAAAACTAAAAGGATTTTCTACCTTTAGGAGTTTCTATGTTCTATTGAACAGAAAAGAAAATATTTTGAGAAATGTTACAAACCTGTAACCATTGACCTCCATGGTAGGAAAAACAAGTACTTTGGAAGTCAATTGTTACAGGTTTCTTTTTATTTCATCTAACATAAATTCTTTTGTGTTTAACAGAAAACAGAAACACAAAAATGACAGAATTTTCAGTTTTAGGGGTACATATATTATCCCTTAGACAATCTACGCAAAAAAATGTCTATTTTTTTTTTTAGAAATTACTGTCAATATGTTTAAAAATGTAAATGATGTTTAAAAGATGTTTAAAAATTGGACAATTGTGGTGTTTTCCCCTAAGCAGAAGGCTGTTTGCTGACCTGATCTTTCTGATCCTGCAGTGAATGATGCTCTTCATCCACCTGCATCATCATTTCTTTCACCTTCCGCTCAAGACGTCGATTTGCCAGCTGCAGGTTAGCTCGATCCCTGTAAAAAGTCATCTTCAAATTTAACTCTTTTTGTTTAAATCATACATTGTGATGGCTAGGACACATTATATCATGGGTCTCAAACTGGATTCCTGGAGGGCCGCAGCTCTACGCAGTTTTGCTCCAACCCTAATCAAACACAGCTGGTCCAACTAATCAAGCTGTTCATGTCTACTGGAGAGTATTAAGCAGGTGTGAGTTGGAGGTGGTTGGAGCTAAACTCTGCAGAGCTGTGGCCCTCCATGAATTGAGTTTAAGACCTATGCATTAGACACATTAGCTGTTTTACCTCTCTTCTCCTTCCAGTCTCTCCTCCAGTTCCTGGATGCGGGTTTCCAGTTGGGACACCAGTCCATCCTTACTAGGCTTGTGAGATCCTTCCAGATAAGCAATCCTGCTCTTCAGATCTTTATTCTTCATACAAAAAGAAAAACATGAAATTGTATATGAAGAAGGTTAGTGGTCCACTGTATCATCATTAACAGGGACATGCAGTACTGAAGCCACATTTTCACTGTTCAAGCTCACCTCCAAAACTCATTCAGACCAGCACAACAGAAAACAACTCATGGCAAGACTTTATTTTGATGGTCCCTATTGCACATTTCGATGACTAAAAGTTACACTACCACTACGTGCCAATTACTTCTTATATGAGTATTAGTAGACTGTCTACTATAGAGTCAATATAGGGCCATATATACTTAAAAAATAAAAGAAAGTTTTGCAAACAAAATAATGTATTGATATTTTTTTTAAATTATGCAAATCTAAAAAAAAAAAAAAAACTAAAATAAAGTGGAAACAAAAATAAAGAACTGCTAATAAAAATCAAGTAATGGGGAAAAAATAATCTTTGCAATTTTTTTTTTATATTTGTATATTTGCTAAATGTTTTTGCAGTATTGCCTTTACAAAACGTCTCAAGTCAATTGCAACGCTCATTTTGATTTGCTAGTTTTACTGTTTGACAATTTAAACAGCCCCCTGAAAAACAAAGGATTCAGGTATTTTAATCTCTGTTAGATTTATGACAGTGATTCATGGCTGATTTCCTTTGTGACACGATGTCTCCAGCTGATGACGTCGCTTTATAGGAGTAAGTCCCGGGCATGCTGTACATGCCCCAGTTGCCGTGTCTCTGCCCCCCTTGTCAAATCAAGGCCAGAAAGCGAAACAAAAATGTGAAGTGCAATAAGAAAACAGCTTTGCAAACTCACGGTTGACTGAAAAGCAAATCAAAATGAGCGTTGCAATTGACTTAAAAGGTTTTGTAAAGGTAATATTGAAAAAAAAAAATATTTAGCAAATATATGTCTATTTTTTAAAAAATTGCAATTGTTTTTTTTTCCGACTACTTGGTTTTGATTTGCAGTTCTTTATTTTTGTCTGCAAGATTCCTTTTTATTTCTCGAAATTTTTTTTTTTTTTGCATTATTCTACTATTTTTTGCTGAACACTTTTTGTTTGCAAAACTTTTTTTTTTTATGTTGCAAGTATATATGGCCCTATATTGACTCCATAGTCTGCTTAATATCTGCTGATTCTGCTCCTTCAACAGACATTTAACTGACTATAAGAAACTGTGCAAGTATTTGTCAACTTACCCCAACCTAACAGTCTACTTATAATCTAATGAGAATTAATTGGCATGTAGATGCAATGAAACTTAAATTCAACAAAATGTGTTAAAGGGACCATCAAAATAAAGTGATACCCAGTCCACATGTCTTAAAATAAGCTTGTTTCACTAAAACACAAACAAAAATTCTCATTCAGAAAACATGCATTTCATTCATAACACACTGACACTAACAACAGGGAGCTTTAAAGAAATTAACTACTTTTATTTCTGAGTTTGAATGAATTTTAAGGAACATCAGTGTTTGATAGAATGAAACAAATGAATTGCTGCAATCTGTTGCAAACAGTAAAATCCCAATCACTTTGCCAAACATTTCAAAACATTTTTAAACTACAATATAGAGAGACTAGCTTTGAAGTGTACAACCAAATAATACTTATCATGTAATACATTTTACAAATTCAGGTACATGTAAAAATGATGATTTTATTATATTATATTGTATGTATATATACACACAGTTGCCTTATTATGAAATGATGCTGATTTCTTGTTTGTTGTGAAATGTGTACTACTGATGTAACTATGAAATGATGCTCATTTGTCTCTCAATGACAGCTCATGGATTATTATCATGTGGTTGAAAATAGGAGTAGGTTTGAGCTGAATGCAATCAGCATGGCATGATTTTGTAATTTTCTGATAAGACTGCTTCTGTTTCAAAATAAATGCATGAAATTTACCATCAGTCTGTTTTCAATCTTTTTGAAATAAGTTTGGCATGCAATAATGCGCTGAAAAAGCACTGTTTTTTACTGCTTGTAAAGCATGAATGATAAAAGTGTTTAGATATTTTGAAAAACACATAATTCCATGCATTTTGTGTCAAAGCAAAAAAATAAATAAATAAAATTTAAGAAAAATAAATAAATAAATCACAGTTTGCTTTGTGTGAGCTGTTTTGAAAATGTGACTTCAGTACTCCACAAAGCTTGTTAATGGTTAAAAACTGTAAATTAAACTAAATCATATTTAATTTGTTCCATACCACAGCTTTTTATCTTTTTTCTGCTTATCTACTCTATGTAAGTGCTTTTGACACAATCTACATTGAAATAGAAATAAAGATGACTTGACTAAAGTGTTTTGCTGGTTGGAGAGGTGGAGATGATGGCTGTTGAAGGCATTGATCAGAGTCAGGAGGGTTTGTTTTTACCTGTCTCTCCAGGGAGATCTTGTCACACTCCACATCCTGTCTGCTGGCTCTCTCCTGCATCAGCTCATTCCTCATCTGCTCCAACTGTCACACAAACACACACAAACATAATAACAAAACGCCCTAATGCAACACAACAACAATAACAAAACACTGCCACGCCAACTGTCTGGACAACCACTTTTGATGCAAGCATTGGTAAATGTGAAATCATATTAATACAGGATTTCTCTGTTTTTATGAAGGAAAATTAAAGACATTAAGATGTTTTTTAAGACTAAGTAAAGAAAATTGAATGAATAATCTCAATTGAACAATACAGAGCTCAGCATGATTGAGTACAGCCCATTTTGAAAATAAACATTTTCCTCCATTTCTCAGTGAATATAGGCAATGTATTTTGGTGCATTATATATAAATTATTAATAATATATATTGATTAAAATAATAGTTTAGTTACCAAACATATTTAGAAATGGAAATATAATATAAATAAATTCAAGCAAAATATTTCAAAAAATAAATTACAACCTACAAAATTTCAACAAATTTTTTCTACTTGTTTGCTTCACTTGATTTTTCATCGTTTTTAAAAATTGTGATTAATATTTTTATGCAACATAAAATTTTGGCAGTGCCAGTTTTTGGATCTTTATGGTTAGTTATTTTGTTAGATAAGCTCCAGATTTGGCTTCAGTGCTGAATAATCTAATGTACATGCAACAAATATAATATTGAATAGCTTCCTATTAAAATATGATTTTAAAAGAGAGATTTTTGAGGGGTGCACTTATATATGCTGAGCAATGTACATCAGTATGTTGTCAATTAGTTGTGTTAGCTTCCAAAACTGAAACTGCTAATTTGCACCAATTTTGATTACTTCTTTCATTCATTTTTACATAAGATATCTGCTCAGAAACACTACAATAGAGAAAATCCTAATTAACCTGGTAATGTTCTTGCTCATTATTTTTGTCATGTTTTCCAGAGGAAATACAGATTAGATTTAAATGATTAAATCACTACACATTAACTTGGGAAGTAACATCACATATGTGCTGTATTCTGAAAAAGTGCACAAGATTAAGCAGGCTTAAGATTACACAAACCGCACTGATACAAACACCCCAATGATTACACATGTCCCACCAACAGATGTATTGTTCTTTTTATATTTTACATATTGTTCATTCATTCATTTTCTTTTCGGCTCAGTCCCTTTATTAATCAGCACATCCACTGTCATTTACACACATACACTATGGCCAATCTAGCTTATTTAATTCACCTATAACGCATGTCTATGGACTGTGGGGGAAACCTGAGCACTCTGAGGAAGCCCACGTAAACATGGCGAGAACATGCAAACTCCACACAGAAATGCCAACTGACCCAGCCAGGGCTTGAACCAGCAAACCAGTGAATGCTTGACAGGTAGCGTACATTTTAAAAGGTAGTTTAACTCTGTGCTGACAATTACTTCAGCACACAGTGTTAAATGGCCTTTTTAGAAATCACCGTAATAAAGGGATACGTTACATTTATTTGAAACTGAAATCTTTTGTAGCATTAAATATCTGTGCAGTCAGTCTTAGTTTAATGTCTTCTTACTGGAAAAAAACATTGCAGTTGATGTATAATAATGTTTGTAGGAATAACATCAGTGTGGAGATATTTGCTCTTTTTTTTCTCACCATCGCCATAACCTGAATGTTCACATTTTTCTCTAATTTCTCCAAAACATCAACAAAGCTGCTGCTGGAAAATCT